TCCGACAGTGCGGCGCCCCCTCGGCGCTGACCCTCCGACAGTGCGGCACTCCCTCAGTACTGACCCTCCGACAGTGCGGCACTCCCTCAGCACTACGCTGTATTATCAATCTCTATGATTGTACACGTTGAACAAACTGAACCGTTCTGCCTTAGTCTGTGCCCAAGACGGTTTGCTGCCGCCTTCCAACATTTACAAACAGTTGCACCCCCAACCAACCCGCCAGTCACTGTAAATCCCTGGGATTAGTCCCATACACTTGATGGGAATTGCAGCCTATCTTCTAATTGACCCTGATGAAAAGCCAAGTACCTCCTGCGAACCTGCACGGTGTAGAACATGTTTACAGACTGATTCCCGTCCATCACGCCCACCCCCCGCCCACCCGCGGGCCGGGCTCCTCTACTCGAGTCCGAGGCTGTCTGGGGAGAGGCTGAGGCCTACCTCCCTCCTTGCAGCGTCCGGGAGAAGGAAAGGGATCTTTACAACGCGGCAGCCGCTTTTTGCACAGGACGGTGTTTTCAGGCAGCGCTGTCCGGTCTAAAGGCGACTTTTGGACCCGGCGGCGGCGGTAGCGGCTCCTTCATCCCCCGGGGGTCGGGAGGGGGAAGCCGTAACCCGGCACTCGGCTCTTTCCGCCACTACTCGGCTATTTCCGGTTCCTCCCTGACCGCACGCCGGCGCTCAGCTCTTTCCACTACCACTCGGCTATTTCCGGTTCCTACCTGACCGCACGCCAACACTCGACTATTTCCGCCAGCACTCGGCTATTTCCAGGTCCTCCCGGACGGCACTCCGGCGCTCGGCTATTTCCGCCACCACGCCGGTATCTCCCGATCCCTGCTCGCTCCCACCCCCGGCTACTCGACCATTTCCGCCTCCGCTCGGATATTTCCGACAACTCAGTTTTCCGTCTCGGCCTCCATTCTTAAAGGGCCATGCTCTCTGTCTCTAAAAGCAAACCCTCTGGGTGTTTGTCCATTTTTGACAGCTGACCACCGTCTTAGCCTCCCAACAAGCAGATGTTTATCAATGAATCCAAAGAAGGGGCTAGGATTGTTTCCCTCAGAGCAGAGAAGGCTGATTGAAGTCTACAAAATTATGAGGGCCATTGATAGGTTGGATAGGAAGCTAGCACCATGGTATCAACACCAGCTGAGTTTACTATGATAGGCTCTCTTTCATTACCTGTCCCCTTGCCGAAAGCCCTGTGACCCTCAGGTTAAACCACCAGCACCACCATCTCTCATTAGAGAGCAGCCCTATGCTCTAGTAGGACTATGGTGCCTTTAGATAGTTACAAAGTTTTCCACTTAGTGGAGGGGCCAATCACCAGAGAGGCAGAAATTTACTGTAAAAGGCAGGATATTTAGAGGGGATTTAAAAATGTCTTCATCCAGAGATCAAAAACAGAATTTGCTGGATAAGCTCAGCAGGTCTGGCGACATCTGTGAAGAAAAAAATCAAGTGGTGACATTTTGGGTCCAGTGATCCTTCCTCAGACCAGACCCCAAACATCCACTCTGAATATTTTCTTCGCAGATGCTGCCAGACCTGCTGAGCTTTTCCAGCAACTTCTGTTTTTGTTCCTGATATACAGCATCTGCAGTTTTTTTTGGTTTTTAATTCACTCAGAGAATGATGGGTACCCAGAATTCACTGCCTGAAAGTTGCAGGAACCATCACAAAATTGAAGATGTATTTAGATGTTCAGTTGGAGTGCCAAAGCAGACAAAGCTACAGGCCAAGTCCTTGAAAATAAAAGTAGGATAGGTCAGTGCTTGGTGAATCGTGCAGGCACAGTGGGCCAAATGTTCTCTTTCCTTGCTGTAAAACCCCATGACTATACGACTGGATAGGTCTATTGATGATTCAAGGTAATTGTGGTGCCTCACGATGATCCAAGGAGATGATGAATTTCAGTTAATGTTCTCCTCAGAGCTAGAAAGAGATCTGGTGAATGTTTGATAGAGGAATTCAAGATCATGAGATGTCTGGACAGCATAAGACCATAAGACAGAAGAGCAGAAGTGGGCCATTCAGCCAATTGAGTCTGCTCCGCCATTCAATGAGATCATGGCTCATCTGATAATCCTCAACTCCACTTTCATGCCTTTTCCCTATAGCCCTCGATTCCCTTACTAATTAAAAAATTATCTCAGCCATGAATATACTTAATGATCCAGCCGCTACTAAGCTCTGTGGTAAAGAATCCCACAGATTCACAACCATGTGAGGGAAGAAATTCCTCATCTCTGTCTTAAATGTGCAAACCTCACTGAGATGATGCTCTCTGGTCCTAGACTCTCTCTCCTATCAAGTCCTCTAAAAACCTTGTATGTTTCAATAAGGTCACCTGACTCACCTCTCATTCTTCAATATTACAATCAGTGCAGGCCCAATCTACTCAACATCTCCTCATGAGTATTATAGAACAGAGAGTTCTAGGGGTGCAAGTTCATAGCTCCTTGAAAGGGATGTCGCAAATAGATAGTGTGATGAAGGTGGCTTTCAGCATGCAGCTTTCATCAGTCAAAGTATTGATTATAGGAGATGAGATGTCTTGTTGCAGATGTACAACATGTTGGTAAGGCCACATTTGAAATACAGCGTGCAGTATTAAACTAGAAAGAATTCAGAAAATATTTACTAGGATACAACCTGGACTGGAAGGTTTGAATTATCAAAAGAGGCTGGATAGGCTGGGACTTTTTACCCTGGAACGTAGGAGACTGAGATGTAACCTTATAGAGGTCTATAAAATCATGACATGCTTAGAAAGTCTAAAACTAGAGGGAATAAGTTTAAGGTGACAGGGGAGAGACACCAAAAGGTCGAAAGGGACAATTTTTTCCACAAAGTGTGGTGAGTGTTTGGACCAGGCTGCCAGAGGTAGTGGTGGAGGCAAGTATAATTTTGTCATTTAAGAAACATTTAGACAAGTACTTGGATGGGATAGGTATGGAGGAATACGGACCAAACACAGGCAAATGGGACTAGTTCAATTGTGAAAATAGGATGGCATGGACAAATTGGGTTGAAGGACCTGTTTCCATGCAGTAAACCTCTATGACTCTATAAGAGAACAATCCATTCCTGGTATCAGATCAGTAAACCTTCTTGGGACTGCCTCCAATGCCAGTATGTCTTTCCTTAGATAAGGGGCACAATTCTAATATAGAAGGTAGATAGGTAGAAGCTGTTCCTGAATTGGCAGGATTGAGAACCAGAAGGCATACACCAAATCAAGGTGATTGGTAAAAGAAGCAAAAGGTGATATGAGCAAATACCTCTTTTTGCATTCAGTGGTTCGGATCTGGAACATTAAATTGCAGCAGAGGCAGAATCAAAAGATAACTGGATAAGTATGTGATAAGTGAAGAAAAACAGGGGGGTGGGATCACAAGGAAATAGTGGAGGTGGCTAAGCAGGTTGCTTTTGCAGAGAGCCAATAGGGACACGATGGGACAAATGGCCTCCTTATGTGCTGTAATGGTTCTAAGACTATGAATTAAATTGATGGTTCAAAGGGTTGAGTGGCCTAGCTGCTGATCTAGGCTTTCTTTGGTGAGCTTGTGTTTAAAATTTATGCATATTGCATCTGTTACTGAACTCCTCCCTCCAAACGGGAACCTTACCTCTGTCGCTCTGTTGCCCTTCGAAACCATCTTGTCGATTTTACAACTTTTGTTTGGAGTCAGCACCGGGGAATACATTTTGTAGGCCATTCTCAGCCCCGCGCACACCACCTTATGCCTGTGTGTTCTCATTCTGTGACCTCATGAATGGGTGAAGTAGGTTGTAATGTTCTGCATTCATGACTTCACTGGCAGAGAAAGGGTACAGATTTACAACGAAGAAACCAAGTCATTCCTCTCCTATCCCCATAACCTGTTCCTCATTTCACCCTCCTGTTTTATCTAGCTACACCTACATCTAGCATCTGTGCTATCCATCTCAACTGCTATACCCAGTTCTTAATACTGTCTGAAGAGGACATTTCTCCCAAAGTCCCTCTTGTCCTCACTAATGGATAGTCACAGACCTTAGTTTTAGCTTCCTGCACAAGCAAAAACTTCTTCTCCACATCTATCCTCAGACTCCTTTTATAATTTGAATGACTCCTATTAAAACACCCGTCTTTCAACAAAAGGAGCACAGCCTCTTCAGTCTTAGCTGGTAGTTGTCATCTCTCAGTTCTGGTATCATTTCTATTAATTTATTTTTGTATCTCGTCTGGAAGAATTACCAACATGTCATCCTCCTTTGATAGTGAACAGTCCATTGTCTTCAAAGTAAATGTTTAAATTAGCGTTTCTCTCAGGCTGACATACTTTAATGTGCGTGTGGGCTGGGGGTAAAGTGAGTTTGGGGGGTTGGGGAAAAGTCTTGGGGAGTCTACCTGTTCATGTCTGCTCGGCTTTTCTAAAATGGGGTCCCAAACTCTGAGGCTGCAATGGCCATCATAGAGCTTCAACCAAGCTACAACAACTGTGTGACAGTAAGAACTGTTCCTCCAGCTCCACACTGTGTTACAAAAACTGTGTTCCTGTTCCAACAAACCTCGGCTCTCTCTCTAAGCCCCTAGCCCAGACTTGCAGTTCCTACCGAGGGGCTGCGACAAATTTCAAGCTTAGGCAGGGGTCCACGGTGGGAAAACATTTGGCAAATATAGTCCCTGATACAATGTCGGCAACATGGCAGCTAATTTGTACTCAGCGTACCTCCACAAACAGAAGTGTGATGCTGACCAGATAATCTTTTCTTCTTGTGGTGTTACTAGCAGGACAAATATTGTTTCAACACCCTATGATCTGTATGCCTTTGTAATGTTATGATCTGCGGTACTGTACGCAAAACAAAACTTTTCACTATACTTCGATACATGTAACAACAATAAATCAAAACATATTAGTACACTGAGGACAGCTCGCCCTCCCTTTAATCAAGAGGCAGTACCATTGGAAGTTTTGCATATCCATACAAACAGTTGGATGAAACATCCAAAAAAAAAATCAGCCCTCTGACAGTCCAGGGTGGAAGTATACTCCCTCCCAATCTTCAGACTCTGAAGTGAAGATGCTAGCAATCAACATGTAAAACACTGAATGGTTTGTCATGTTCCTACTTACAGATTGAGAGTGCTCTGACAAAGGTCTTTATAATTAAAAAATGATTATAATAGAGTAGATATTGAGAAGCCTTTCCACTTGTAGGAGAGTGAAGCATCAGCAGACAATGAGCTAAGGACTGTCCTTCAGGCACAACGCTGATCATCAAACAAACAAGACCAGAACACAAGACCATTCTTGTACAATCATCACAGATAAATCCAATTGCAAACTTTGAAGTAACTTCTTCTACCCAAAACATATTGGGAATGTGGAACTCAATCACGCAAAAGGAGTGGTTTGGTTCAAAAGGAAGTGATGGTTGCAACAGGAGTAGCAGTGTTCAGGCTTCACATTTCTTTCCTTCACAGCTTTTTTTTCTTAGAACATAGAACAGTACAGGCCCTTCCGCCCACGATGTTATGCCGGCCTATTATCCTACAAAGATCAATCTACCCTGCATGCCCTACATTTTGCTATCCTCCATCCAAGAGTCGCTTAAAAGTCTCTAAGGTATCTGACTCCACTACCACCGCCGGCAGCACATTCCACACACCTACCGC